TCCTAAATTGCTTAAATCTCATTGATAAAGTCTGGAAAGGAATCACTGTGATATATTTATTAACATTATTTGTGCATCATCATTAAAAAAGTACTTTAAATTTGCATAAAATACGATTTTTTATATCAATATTTTTGAGGCTTGGTATGAATTAATTTTATTTCTATTATTTTAAATAGGGAAAATTGTTTCAACATACAAAATTTCCAGTTACGAATCCACTCCTGGAATGGATTAAATTCTGTAGCTTAAATGAGTCTCTATTACTAAGACGTCACTTGTACAAATCAAGATACCGCTGGTTCAATCCGCTTTCTGAACACTTCAAAATGTAAATCCGTCTTTCTCTCTCTCACTGTTTCAGTCCTCTTTTATCAGGCCAACACCACAGTCGGCCAACCAATCAATATTCTTCGCTTTTATTCTCAGTTACACGGGTAAATAGTCTCCTCCAGTTTGACCAATCAGTACACAACTTGCTATTGGTGGAAGCATGCCAAACTGTACAAAAATCCTCGTTACCGCACATACTGCTGGAATGGCTAGATGGGAGAGTAATGCCATTTTCACGGAGCAAACTTGCCAACGCCATGTGCCATACGTTATAAGGTAAAACCCTTATTTTCCTATGCACCAGATGCAAGCTACTCTGGCTCGCTTGCTTCTACGGGAATGTTCATCACAAATTCATAGGTCGAGGTTCCACTGTAATGGGATTCTGTCAGAATTTTTATTGTATTTTTTTTGTTTTGCTTGTATAAAATTATGGTAAGCCTCATTTTTTAGCTATTTCATTCACAATTTGTTTCAGTTATTAGCATGCTTCCAATAATCTTTTATCTCTGTTCAAATTCACCTAATTCTTAAATGCCACTTAAGATTATCGCACAAACTTTCATAACTGAATCAATGAGTCAATCCTCATATGTCGAAATCGACGGGAGAGTCCATTATTATAATATATATATATATATATATATATATATATATATATATACACACACACACAAGTAGTAATCCATTGGTATAACCAGGTGAGTCCTATTAACACAATATAGAATTTAAAATATCAAAACTGACTCACAAAGAGCATTCAATGTTTATTTTCATTAAACAGAGCAAAATTTTCTTTGCAACTAGAATTAAGATACCTTTAATTAATGACTATTTTCACCTACAAATTTTAATTTTAAAATTCACAGGATTTTTTAAACTGTTTATAGTATCAGTTTGTAGTTGGATACTGTCTAGTTGAGGAGAAAATGAGAGGGAGGGCATTAAATGGGACATGGTGGGACATATGGCAGATGGAGGCACCATTACAGGAATTATATTATGGAGGTAGGAGAGCAGGGGAAACTGATGAGCTAAACTACATCCTAATGGTCACCTAGCCAAAGTTTGATTCAATGGGAATCCACAGAAATAACGAAAATGTGAAAAAAAACAATCAAGAGGTAACTTTAGTAAGATAAAAGAGAGTTAATTCAGAATTATTGGTGTATTAAACTCATCCATATATCAGAGCTCAAAGTTTGGGGAGGTTTTTAAAGATAATACACACACACACGTGTGTGTGTGTGTGTGTGTGTGTGTGTGTGTGTGTGTGTGTGTGTGTGTGTGTGTGTGTGTGTGTGTGTGTGTGTTTTATATAAAATAAATCCATAGCAGAACAAAATATAACTGATTAAAAGATTATGGTTCATTAATTGCAAATGAATTAATTTACATGAATTAAAGTCAAATCTAAAAAGATGCAGCTCTTTTACATAAACAAGTTTAGATTCTTCAAAAGCAAATTACACAAAAAAATCTATTAAACTGAAGTGTTTATAAAAAAAATTACCTTTTAATATATGCAAACTTTCCAAAATCTAAGAGCATGCTAAAAATGCTTGCTCAAGATGGGAATAACCGAAAGAGCATGCAATACCACATATTCTGCATGTACTTAGTACATTACTCAAATTTCTTAAACTCTTCAAAAAAAAAAATAACATGTTTGTTGACTAAAATACTGCATTCCTGTTTGTATTGTAAAAATTATTTTAATATTCTCTTTTTTTTTTAAAAATACTTTTGAGGTTTGTAATCAAAATAATCAGATGGAGCAGGAGTTGCTGAGTAGTGGATGGCCTATGCACTAAAACTCCAAATTCTTCAAAACTATCCTGTGAGCATTGTGTTGCAAAAAAAGTGAACACCTTTTCACAGCCTCCTTCAACTTTTTCCTTTCAATAACCTCCTTTAATTCATTTTTTTAAAATTTATTATTGTTACTGTACAATGCACAATTAAATGGGCAGCAGTCCCCAGTTGCACACAGAAAAATAGAAACATGTTACACAACACAGATGAAAAACACAGAGCACTAAATGAAGGAAAGTGATAATATTTAAAATAAGTTGAAAACCGTCAACATACTGCAGCGTTCAATTTAAGTGGGGCAGTGGAATAAAAGCTATCCTTTAAGTCATAAAAGTAATAGAATTCTCTGAAGGCAACAGTTCTAACAAGTGGTACCCAGAATTCATGTTGTTTTTCATTGTGTTTTCTGCTCTGCTGCAAGAATTAGAAATGTCCTCCAAAGCAGGCAGGAAACAGCAGCTGATTTTTTTTCTGGGTAGTCTCTATAATCCTTTAGAGGGCTCTCTTGTTGGCTGCCGAGCAACTGGTATACTAAACAGTGATGCAGTACACCAGCACACTCTCAACAGAGCAGCAGTAGAAGGACATCAGCAGCTCCTCTTGTAACTAACTTTTTCAGAGAATTCTTAATAAATAAAGTTACTGCTATAGCTTCTTGACTATCACAATGGCATTGCTAGTCCATCTATAATTGATATTTTATAAATTTCAACCAAAAACAGTACTGGCTGCTCAGTCAATGAATATCAAATGTTTCTTCAATTCATAGGGTAAATGGTTAATATCTTTTTTTTTTTTTAATCATTTCACCCCATGCAAGGCAGGAATGTCACTAGTACACAGGGGGTTACAGGGAATGAAAGTGAGAGAGAAGACAGAGTATAGAGAGGATTGAGGCAGTTGCATTTAGCTATTTCAGCTGTGAACAGGTGGGACCTAGATGCCAATCTAATAGCACACTTAAATCCGTGTAGTCAGGGCACCAGGGGAAAAAGCTTGTCAGAGCAGTTGCCATGAAAATATTTGTAGAAAAGACAGAGGGAAGCCACATCACATCTGTGATAAAGTAACTGAAATCCAGATTCTAGGTCAGGATCGATTACATTACAGATCCTTCTTTGGATTTTGTCAAGAACCTCCAGATGAAAGCAAGAGCACCAAACAAGATATGGCAGCAGTATTCAATGCATGGGCAAATGGTAGATTTGTAAGTATGCAAGATGGACTCTGACAAGAAAAAATTTCTGGCACAACACAGTGACCCAGCTTTACTTGCAGTAGATGCAGTTACTGATTTGATGTAGTTGCTTCACGTTGAAAATGTGAAGTCAAGAAGCCGCAGTATGTTGCTCTCCAGAATTTATCCATGCTGATGACAAGCAGATAAGTTTCTACATGGGGGTTAAATGAGAGCAGTTTTGTTTTGGAGGCATTAAAAGTCACAAGCCATTTCCTGCCCCAGTTAACCACTGATTGGAGGTCCTTTTCAAGAGCAACAATATTACCATTCAAGTACCCACTTGATGAACAATTAGTACCAACTCAATTGGTCATAAATTCAGAACCAACCATTTTTCTTCAATACCTGAAACATCTCAGCAATTCTTCTGGCAGAAATTTGTCAATCAGCCAAAATTAAATCAAACATTATCAACAATTTCAGGAGTTGATACAAATGAAGACCTCTCAGACCATGTTGCAAATGGGCACTTATCACTTGTTTGCATGATCCACTCATGAATTTGCTTTAGATTTTTCTTCTTCAAGAACAGGAACTTCATGACAATCTGAAGTTCAACATTTGAAAATTCCTAACTTTTGACATGGTTCAGTCAATAACCTGAAACAATTTCAAAATTAAGTACAAGAATCATTCAAATTGGCAGCTTACAAGAATACTAAGAATACAAGAATATATAAGAATACTAATTCTAGTGCTAATGACAAAATAATGTTCAAATTTTGGGAAGTGACTCAGACCAAAAACTTTTCAGTAGAAATATTACTTCAGAACATTACTCTTAAAAACAAATAAATATTTTGGAATTTTAAAGTAATGATATTAATGGAATGTAAAAAAATGTAATGCTATTTTTGCCATTATCAAAGGATGACATTAATAAACCACAACCACTTTTTCCATATTAATTTCCATATCTTATTTTTTATTTTTTCTGCAATTTTAGAATGTATTTAGAAACAATAGTAGAATCAATATTTGTTCTCCAAATTGTACAATTCTTGTTAAAATGGTGCATTCAGACAGATTATGGTAAGGCTAATCTTTAATCTAGCCACCTTAATCTTAACTAGTCCCATTTCAAAACAAGGCAAAGCATTGTTCCTTACACCACAAAACCTTATCCATCTGTCTGGCTATTCTCTCATAATCTTATTATTATACATGATTTGCCCTCTAGGATCATATATTTTAAAATTTGTGTATTTGGGCAGCAAATTCTCTTTTAGGCATATCTGATTAAATAAATTACAAACATTATGTCTGCTAATTTTTAACAAAATCCATTCATACTCACGAATAACCTTCCATATATGTTAAAGGATGAGAGAAATGTGCTATAGCTATTTAAATTTCTTTTATTTTCATTTCAGATGATCTTGGAAGAAGACAGTACTTGAGAAATGAAAATAAAGAAATTTAAACAGCTATAACACATTTCTCTCATCCTTTTGACATCAATACATGAAAGGTTATTGAATGGATTTTGCAATTCATTTATATATATATATATATATACACAGACAAATGATTGACTTGTTTTGTTTTGTTATGGTTTATGAACCATTTGTGAGTTATTTAAAGCCAAAACATTTCAGATTATAGAAGGTTGCTTGCAGTACCCAGTGTTCCCAAGCAGCCACTCATCTAAGCACTGACCAGGTTAGAAACTGCTTAACTTCAGTGATCAAATAAGAACTAGTGTTTTCATTATGATTTGACCATAATACGTGGTATCCTTGATCTTGTCCATGATTGGAAATCTCACTTTTAGTGGCAATTTTAACTTTGAGAAAAATCAACAAGTTACAACTAACTAAATCTGGACGAAAAAGCATGTGTGTATGTTTGGGGGTGGGGATGACATAACTGGGTGATGCGTTTCATCATGATCTCTCAAAATTTGGTATGCATGGGGAAGGGATTGACCCTTTTCTGTTATCTGGATTTATCTTTCATAATAACAATTAACATTGGAACGTTCTATTATTTATGTCCAGACAAGAAAAATAATTTTGTGCTTTTACAGAACAAGTTTCTCTAAAAAGACAATTTCAACTTTTCATAGTATTTTTCTATTGGCTACTTACCAGGATCCAAGGCAAAATTGTACATACCATCATTTGTACTAAGGGATTGTTTCACTACAATAGTCCACTGCCATAGAATGGGCCTTGGGGTCCAAGATGGCCGACCCGCGCTGCAAGTGAATCTCGGTAGCTGCTTGGTAGCGATATTGGGAGGTTGAACACCTGCCTGATTTTTGAGCCCTATTTCACCATATATATGGTAGATAATAGCTCAAAAAGAACCTCAAAAAAAATCATACTAATTTATGCCAATGATTCCATAAAATTTTTTTTTTAGGTAATTTGCTTTTTAACCCCCCATGCTAATTATCTAATAAAAATTTCCTGAACAATTATTCTAAAAATTTTACATGCCTAATTTGAAAATAACAAAGAAATTTTTATAAAATCTACCATTTTGGAGTTATTGACAGCCATTATTGGTGTCATTTGCATCAGTGCATGCACAATAATCGAGACAAGTGAATGTCTATTCCGCAGCAAATATATGCAAACAACACCAGTAATGAGTGCCATGATGCAAAGGAGTCCAAACTTTTATTGTCAATAACATCAAAAAGGTAGATTTTATCCTATCTATCAAAAGCAGTTTTTCCTTTACTGTGAGCTTTACATTTAGACATTTTGTATTACTACTAAGGGTCGGAATTCCCAGTAGTTCCCACTTGTGACCCCTAATTACTACACGCTATTTATATTTGTTTATTTATGAGAGATTCTTGATGTCTACTGTTGGACAATCAAACTGAACCCGATCAACCAGAGAAAAGTACTCCTATTTATACCTCATCTGTGGTATCTGATTGCAGTGATTAAATTCCTGTTAATTAGTCCAATATTATAGGAACTCTTTGATCACACACACACACAAAATAGAAATATAAAGTAATCATGTGTAATTATTACCAATACAATTGGATTAGGTGTGAAATGGCTGAGGTGTTAAAATCTCACAAAATTTGGGCTGTTTGATCATCGAAATCAAGGTAAATTGTGTGGAGATAAAGGAGTGTAATTATTAAAACAAATTAGGACCCATCTGATGATCACTGTTTGTTCTGTCTATCATGAAGAAGATGGCCCAGAAATTGATAAAGTAGGGTGGAATTTCTAAAAAAAAAAAAAAAAAAAAAAAAAAAAAAAGATATTGAGGGTACAAGAGCAAAATCTTGGGGTCCACCACCCACCCACAATACACTGGGTACCACGGTAAATTTGTTCGCCTAATAGCAGTGGAGTACTGTACTATCATCACCAGTTGTGATCTGATAAGTACTTCAGGATTTTTTTTGTTTTTTTTTATTCATACACGCACACACACACAAAAAGGGTGTGATGGGTAAATTGTCACCATTTTATATTTTTAATTTCATGCATGTGCATTGTTTTTGATTCTGTTGACTGCACAGTATAGTAGGGTCAGTTGGGCACCCTCTGTGAGAATAGAGCACAATTCACTTTGCCATAAATTTGGGAAAAGCATGCTGTACTGCTTGACATTCAATCCAGAAGCTCCAATACAAACATTTCAGTATGCTTGGGTGTCAATCTGAAGACAGTGCAAAGGATTCAGAAAGAGTTGGAGGAGTCTAATGGTGATTATGAAAGTACAGCACCTCAGAAAATTCACTCTGATCATTCTGATAAGAAAAGAACTCTCGGATTTGTTGGTGAGGGCCTCAGATTCACACAGAGGCCTACATCAAGTACCTTGAGGAGTAGCTGCTGGAAGACCTTATGTCTGGCAACAGGACTCTGCACCATGCCACACAAGCAGGAGAACCCAGTCATAGCTATCAGTCAATTTTTGCAACTATATCACTCCTTTACATCTGGCCACCTAACTAGGTTGATCATGTATAGTTGAAAAAAAAAAAAAAAAAAAAAAAAATCACTATGTTAAGGGGTGCTTACTTACTTCCCTCTATAAAAGGACAATAAATTGAGATACAATCAAGTTACATCTCTTATCCACTATTTGTACCGCAGCACTTCTGAATTCTGGTATATCATGATGTTTGACAAAATAGTAAGTAGAAAGATCAAAGATTCTTCTCCACTTATTCTGATTAAGAAATCTCAAGGAAATAACATTGTAATTAGCAGTCAATATAGCCGAGTTATCTTGCTTGAACAAACTGGGAGGGATGATCAATTTAGACTTAGTTGAAAATTTGCTATGATATACCATTTTTGATGTTATAGTAACAAACATCCAAAAATTGGATCATTATAAAGAATCATAAAAAACAGAATGGAAAAACTTTAGATATAGAATGTGACATCACCATCCGAGAAATTACTAACCATGAGGTTTTCACAATATACAGCCATTTAACTTCATTGCAGTTGGCTCAATTTGCAAAATTTTCCTGTTCAAGACATTTATTAAATTAAACAACTTTACAAAATATATTGCAAAGGAAGAAAATATAGACCAAGAAAGTCTTTAAGAATAATCATATTTAGAAATTAGTAAAAAAAGAAAAAAAAAATCAATTTACATTCTCAACATCATGAAAGTCTGAGACATCAAATACTTATCAACTTCAACTCCCCCCACCCCAGACAACATAAATTTTTCAGAAGACAAGATCAGAAAACATTTTTCAACTGTTGCATGATAAAACTCAAATTTTGTCTTTTTAAAATAATTCAAACTTTATCCAGTGAGGGCTTAAAAAATATACATTGTATATACAGTTAAACATTCATGAATAGTAACACCTGGAAAGAAAATCTTTTATTACCAAAGGAGGTAAGCTCAAATTAAAATTAACATTTTGCTAAATGCAATAAATTCAACTGCCAATGATTAACTGTCCTTATCTTCATCTCATCAGAAACCAGTTTTTCTACTTTTATCAGTAGCATAAAAAAAATTTAAATAAAGCAAAAATTTCTATTTCCCTATATTATGATAATTAGTGTTAATCGGTATTTTGATCATTATTATTTGGGCCATTATTAGGAAGCAGAAAACTGTTGACATTCTTTATAGAAACCCACACAAAATATATCTTCAAGATTGCATTCAACATGCCAAGATAATTGTCTTTGTAAATTGGATCATTGCTTCAACTGTGCTGTTTTAGAAGAAAAAAAAAATCTTTGTACAAAATCACTTCCTAATATTAGCTTAACAGTATTTGCCTCAGTCTATGTTAATCCATTTCCCAGAAGCCACAAAGATAATCATAAACTCTTCGGTGCCATAGACATTAAATACATTCAGTGTGCTCTTTGGTTGTAGAAGGTAAAAAGTACAAGAATAATTAGAACCAAACAAAAATCTTAGCACAAGCACAAATATCTGTGTTTCTGTCTAAATTTCTGAGATAAGCATTTATCATTATTTACACTATTTATATTCAAGACTATTGTCCTCATCTTTATTGTTAACATCACAACATTTCAGTCGTTGAGCCTTCTGGTCTTCATTAGGTGTATATTGATTTAGGCAATCTACAGAGAATTCTAAACTGACCTGGATATTGTCTGAACATTTAAAAAGGTATTGAGATCAGAACTCCCTGTAGGTTAGCCTGATCAATATACACCTGATGGAGGCCAGAGGGTACAGCAGCCAAAACATTGTGATAAAAGCAACAAAGAAGATGACAAAAATCTGAATATAAATAGTGTAAAAAATAAATATCTGTGTGATTGTATGAAAGAGAGATCCAGGTTCAAATCTCTCCATGGTCACTTTGTTAGAATGGTAACTTTTTGATATCAGTTTGGCAAGTCAATCCCAACATTCAGCAACAATGGAACTTGTCTGAAAACCATAGTATAGGTTGACCCAAGCCTTGTGAGTGGAGATAGGTAGACAGTCATCTGTTGCTGTGCTAGCACAGAGTGACAAGTCATTGTGACCAAGGGTTAGTTACTGTTGATTATGCCAGATTATGAACTCTTTGCTAGAAAATTTAACTATGGTCTACTCAGCATAGTTACAGTATAAACTATAAGTGGGCTCTGTAGGTGTTGAACAAACACAAATGCACCTGAGCAAGCATCTGTAAAAAGGGACTGGCTTGATGCCCTAGCAGTCAAGTGTGCTTGGAAATGGTTAGCTGAGGCATTATTAAAAGAGACAGAATTCAACATTTTCTAAAGATCCCCAAAAGAAAGGGATGGGCAAATTCATCATCAATATGTCAAAGCAATTTCCATCTTCATATAGTGGATTCTTCTGATTAAAAAAAATTACAGAAAATTTTCTTATCATTTATTTTTATTTCAAAGTTAAAAATAAACTACACTAAATGTTAATGGATTTTATTGTGGCAATATGTTTATGCTAAAAGTAATGTGTTAAAAGAAACTTTTAAATTGCTTCTGACTAGTAAGATAATACTAAGATACATTTAAACATCTATATAGTCACAATTAGCTTCATTTATTATGTGTGCTTTTACTTATAGCATTGGAAAAGGCAAGAAAACAATTATGTTCATTTAATTTTATTTGTAGCCGAGTTGAATGTTCAACAACTAAAATGTGTGAAGAAAATGCTAAGAAAAAGTATAAGGCAAATGCTGCTGCTTCTTGAATTGAAGACTTCCTGTGGAACATAGAATCCATAACCACCATGGAAAGTTTCAATGATTACATACAAGCAGGTTTTAC